GTCTGTGTCCCGCCAAAGTGGTCGGCTCGAAACCTTCTTCTGGATCCATGCTCCATACTCGCGCCGTCAAATCCTTGGCGGCAGTGAGCAAGAAGCGCGAATCGCTGGACCATTCGACACTTTCGATGTTGTCAAAGTGGGCAGCAAGATCCCTGTGTAGAACGAAGGGTGCAAATTCAATCTCGCCATTGGTTTCGGTGCCGGGGGTAGAGGGTGTCTGCCAGATTTGCAGGCGTCTTCCGACGCCGACAGCGAAATGTCGGCCGGACGGGGAGAATTTGAGAGCGGACACTCGTCCTTTGAATGAAAAGTGGTGAATGGCGATGCGCCGTTGGAAATTGGTCAAAATTGCGCGACCATTTTCATCCACGGTCAACAGAAGATTACCCTTGGGCGAAAGATCGAGGCGGTCGATGTTTGTACGGTGCGAAAAAGGCAGGGTATAAGAAGTATTTCTATACAATTAATTGTGAGCGCACTGGTTTCCAAACCACAAAACGAAGAAACACCAGGCGACACATACTGTACCAGATCAAAGACCGAGACTCGATTGCCTACTGGCGAAAGCAAGCATGTGCCATCGGGAGTAAAGAGAAGATTTCCTTTGCGATATACCGTCCCCAAAAGGTTGGAGAACTAAAATTGAGGGTGTTAGTATGAAACTTAATAATCAAGGCTTGCTTGTAATTGCATGCGATCAACAATCCACGCTTAGTACATACCTTGAAGTCTGTCTTCATTTTGGCTGTCGGCGATCTCAAAGATCAAAAAATTAGAGATAATTCCACCAGCTACTGTGATAAGAGCCTTCGGATCATCCATGCCCCGATTCCGATCCCAATCAGGACTAGTCCCCCAGACTAAACCCAGATAGGCAAGGCGAGTGTATACTCCAGAAAACGAAAGGAGATTCAGGGGGAAGCAGCGACGGGCAGTTCGAGAGACATCCGATTTTACATTCGTTCCTCCTTTTCCCTTTTTTTCTCCTCAGGAGTCGACCTGTCATCTCTTCTCAATTCTGGTATTCTACACCAGGGCCCTCTTCTTCATCTTCTTTTTTTGTGTTGATTCCCAATTGTTTTTAATTCCCCCCCCCCTATAACCCACCATGTCGACCTCAGAGACCGCCACGCCGATTGGCATTGCCAACGTAAGCTATTCGGAACGCCGGCATCTCCCTTATGATATCTTGAAGCTAACCCGCCATTTTTGATATAGCTCCCCAACCAGCGGTGTGTACCTTTGAATGATTACGGTGGATACGAGGAAAGATTCTAATCAAGCTTGTATAGTCACAAGATTGTCGCGAAGCGGGGTGCAGCCTTCACTATTATGGTGTGTTCCACAGGAGGAAAATGCTCCGCGCATGCTGATGCTAACGGTGCTTCGATCAGGTTGCCGGAGAGTCGGGATTGGGAAAGACGACCTTCATCAACACCCTTTTCTCCACCACCATTAAGAACTATGCCGATCACAAGCGCCGCCACCAGAAGCAGGTCGACCGAACTGTGGAGATTGAGATTACCAAGGCTGAGCTCGAAGAGAAGTTCTTCAAAGGTGCGACCCAGATACTCTCGTGTTGGGGGAGGGGTTTCGACGGCTAATGAGTTATCGATTTTCTAGTCCGCCTCACCGTTATTGATACCCCTGGCTTCGGAGACTACGTGAACAACCGTGATTCATGGCAACCCATTATCGAGTTCCTGGATGACCAGCACGAGTCGTACATGCTCCAGGAGCAGCAGCCCCGCCGAACCGACAAGATCGACATGCGTGTGCACGCCTGTCTGTACTTCATCCGCCCCACCGGACACACCTTGAAGCCTCTCGATATCGAGGTGATGAAGCGCCTGAGCTCCCGTGTCAACCTGATCCCTGTTGTTGCCAAGGCCGATACCCTGAGCCACGCGGATCTAGTGCGCTACAAGGATAGAGTGAGTGGAATGAGTGCACGAGGAGAGTCGAGAATCCGGACTAACAGGTGATCAGATCCGCGCTGTGATCGAGGCCCAGGGCATCAAGATTTACTCCCCGCCCGTCGAGGAGGACGACGAGCACGCTGCTTCCCACGCCCGCAGCCTTATGGCCGCCATGCCTTTCGCCGTCATCGGTTCCGAGAAGGATGTCAAAGCCAACGATGGTCGTGTTGTCAAGGGTCGTCAGTACGCTTGGGGTGTCGCCGAGGTGGAGAACGAGGACCACTGCGACTTCAAGAAGCTCCGCTCGATCCTGATCCGCACCCACATGCTCGACCTTATTCACACCACGGAAGAATCGCACTACGAGGCCTACCGTGCCCAGCAGATGGAGACCCGCAAGTTTGGCGAGGCCCGGCCACGCAAACTCGACAACCCCAAGTTCAAGGAGGAAGAAGAGACTCTGCGCAAGCGCTTCACCGAGCAGGTCAAGGTCGAGGAGCAACGTTTCCGCCAGTGGGAGCAGAAGCTCATCTCAGAGCGCGACCGCCTCAACAAGGATCTGGAGGCTACCCATGCAGCGTATGTTCCGGACTATTGTTTATGTGGATACATTGCTAATCGATCACAGTATCAAATCCCTCGAGCAGGAGATCGAGGGTCTACAGGGTTCCAGCACCCGCAGCCACGGACGTCGTTAGGATGTTGCAATTTTACCGGGAGTCGACCCGGATCGTTCAAAAGGGGAGTAGTCGAACCATGCTCTTGTTTTTTCTTCTCTTTTGAGTACCCTATGTCTTGCCGTTCGCGCTTGGAAGCACCTTTGTCTGAGTGCTTGGTTCGTTTTGTTTGTTATATCCATTTACCGCTGGTAGCTAGCGATGGTGTGTCTACAACCTTGATAATAACTTCTTCTGTATTCCGTATGAAATACAGAATTAATTCTTGCGAACTCAATAGATTCAAAGTAAAGTACAGAGTAGTAATTTCTAGCTTTTTTCCCCCACTCTTGACTGTTCTCTAAGTGGGACTTAGAAGTTGAAGCTCCGAGCTCCATCCCGCATTCTCTAAACTCCGCCAATTCCTTCTCTCCACCAACTCAACGGCCATGCCCCGGACAATATTCCCAACCAGACATATCCATACCCTTAAAACACACAATGGTAAGCTTTGGACATACCCAGAAGCCGTTCAACTCCTAATCCCCTCCAAAACCCAAGCGCTAACACCTTCCAGGCCCCGTCAACGCGGTAACCTTCTCAAGCTCCGGCGGCACCTACATCCTCACAGGTTCCTCAGACCGAGCAGTCCACCTTTCGCGCGCAGTTCCAAACAACTCCAACAGCCCGACCACAGCCGAGACCATAACCCCTATCCAAAAATACGAAGCGCATGGCTACTCCGTCCTGGACATCGCCGTCGCAGCCGACAATGCGCGCTTCGCCAGCGTAGGAGGCGATCGCCAAGTCTTCCTCTGGGATGTCGAGCAAGGCATCACGACCAAACGATGGTCAGGCCACAACAGCCGAGTCGAAGCCGTGCAATTTGCCGGCGATGGTGACTCCGTCGTAGTAACCGGTAACCTCCCCCCCCCCCCCCCCCCCTTTCCCACCTGGCATCCAGAACTAACATTACTTTCTCTCTTCTTCCAGGCAGCGCAGATACAACGATCAACCTCTGGGATACCCGGTCTTCAAGTTACAAACCCATCCAAACCCTCACTGAAGCAACCGACACCGTCTCAACACTACACGTACACATGGGATCCTATTCAATAGCAAGCGGCAGCTACGACGGCCACGCACGGATCTATGACGTGCGAACAGGAAAAACTACTGTCGACGTGCTCGCGCATCCCGTGACGAGCGTGCGCTGCTCGAGCGACGGGAATGCGCTGTTGGTTTCAACGTTGGACGGGTATATCCGCTTACTGGACCGGATGGATGGCAAGGTTCTTAATGCGTTTTCGGGGGAGAAGACGGTTGCGGGTGGTATTGGGAAACCGCGGCATTCGTATCGGAATTCGGAGCTGCGGGTGCGTTCCGTTTTTGCGATGGGGGATGCGGTTGTGCTGAGTGGGAGTGAGGAGGGGACGGGTGGGGCTGCGGCGTTTGCTTGGGATGTTGTTAAGGGGGAGGTTATTGCTGCTGCGCCTGTTGGGGAGAATGTTAAGGCTGTTAGTTGTGTGGCGTGGAATGAGGGTGTTGGGGATTGGGCTGCTGGGTGTTCTGATGGTAAGTACTATGTTGTATGGTGCTTTTTTGGGGAGGTTGGGGTACCTGTGCTGACTGTTGTTATTAAGGTACTGTCAGGGTCTATGGATGAATTTGGGTCATTTGTTCTGGATGTCTTAGACAAGGTCTCGGACATGGACTATCATGACGGGGTGACGTCCTCCTCTCGTGCCGACATCCAATGTCGCAGTTCTTGAACTACTACACGCCACATTATGCTACCTACCGAAACAAGGAGAATGGAATCCGGTATGGACTAGCCAAGTCTATAGCGATCTTGCTGCCCTCTCACAATTTCCGTTCAACCTGAGACTTTTAAGGGTTGACTATGGACATGTCTTAATTGCAATCTGGGGAATACGGCTATTTTGGACAAGGCTAGGGGAGAAGTTAGGTAAACCTACAGACCAGCGGATATTTACGTCGGTGCAAGTTTTCGCCCTAGAGCTAGGAGCATTGGACCTGTATATATGCCCAACACTGTTATATTAATAATGAGACACGAAATTAATTTGATAATCATCTTGCCTTTTTCTGTTTTGTGTCTTGTGTGTCTTCTTGAAAAATATTAGATAAAAATTGTGGATGGCGGCGCTGCTCTAGGTATATATATCCACAAACTGACAACTATTGATATTTTATAACAAAATCTCAGATTGACATATAAGTAACATACCCATAGTAATAGAAAACTCGACCAAGTCATGACCCATAAAGTAATATTATTCATACAAATATAAAAGCAAACAAACTTTTGCTTCCTCAGACGCCACATCAACACATGCACACATCAAAACATAAGTCATATCAAGGCGCTAGTCACTATGAAATCACCACAAAACCCCCACACTCAATGTCGATGCTGCGGACTATCCGGCGGAGTCCGCGACTCAAACCCAAACCCATCAAGCCTAGGCGACTGCATCTTCTCCTCCTCAAGCGCATCAATAGCCCTCCTAAGCTCATCCTCACCAACAATAATCGTGCCCGCACGAGCAGTACTCAAGAAGCTAATCTCAACCGCGTCGGCAACATCCACATCAGGTTGTAGATGATGCGTCGAGTGCGGCAAGGGCTGCAATGCATGAGAGGGGGCGGAGGTGGATGATTTATCGATAGAGAGTGCCGCAAGACGAGTCCCGAAAGAATCAAATAGTCCAGGTACGGAGCCGACGATGCTGCTGGACCCATTGCTGATGGAACCAGCACGCGACGAGACTGGGACTGCAGCTGCGGCTGCGAGACGGCCTGCGACGCCGCAGACGATGCCGGATGCTTCGAGGGGCAGGTCGCGGAGATCTAGGGTGATTGGGACTAGATGGTCTTCCTTTGAGCCGAGGAGAAGACCGGAGCCATCTTCGTAGACGCGTGTTCCTCCTGAAGAGATAGATTGGCGGGCGAAGCGGGGGAGGAGACGCTTTTCTAGCAGGAGGGAGGCTGCTGGGTCGAGTGCTGCGAGGGTTAGCGATAGGAAGCGGGGTTCGTCGACGAGGAGGACTGTGGTTAGGGCGTCGCGGAGGATGGACATTGATGATTCTTGGCTGTGGTATTCATGGTGGGCTGCGCACTGGACTAGACGGAGGGAGTCGTCTACGGAAGGGGTGATTTGGTGTTTTCGGAGGTTGTTGAAGGTGCGGGTTTGGAGTTCGCCTAGGGTTGAGGGCGGCGGTGTTCCCGGTGGGACGAGGTCGCTAAGTCTTCTTTCGATTGTTGGGCTCAGCGGGTTTGTGATGAAGGCTGCTGAGGCGTTGTTGAATTGGAAGCCTCTTTTTTCTAGCGCGGATATCACGCTTGCTTTGCTTTGTTTGGGGACTACGATGTAGTCGGAGAAGTAGGTTGAGATGAAGAAGATGGAGCTTTGGGAAGGTTAGTATGTATGTTTAAATATATATATATATAGATATATATATAGGTGAGGTATTGGGAGGTCACATACATGCCTGCCAGGGCAAGTGGACTGGTTAATTCCAAGACTCGTTTGCCGGCCTCGAGGCCTTCGCCGAGGACTTGCATGGCGATATAGTCATTTTCACTCACGATCAGACGGGATCGGAGTGAGTCATCCAATTGGTCGAGTTGGTCCATGACCGGGACGAAGTATTTATCGACCAGACGTCTAGGACACATGACAGAGACTTCTACTGGAGTGATAGAGACGTTCATGAATGCAGGTGGTTTAAACGCCGAGTCATACTCGGAAGTGTTTTCGAAATCATCAAATGAAGCATCATCTTTCTCATCTTCCAGTGGTGGAATTTCATCAAAAATGAGTCTTAGAACCGACTTTAAAAAGTACGGGTACAGCTCCAATGGGATGTGTACCAGTACCACACATTCCTCCTAATTATTGGATTAGCAGGTAGTAGACAAGTAGCATGGATGACTCACTAGGAAGTGCACTTGTGCATCGATGAGAGTCATTGATTGATCCATATCATGAGTTATTTAGCCTTGGAGCAAGCGAGAAGATGTAGTAGATGTGCCTTTTTGAGGATTTGGTGAATCAAGGTCCTATTACGCCATTGAGGCTCGATGATGCTATTTGGAGCAAGGAAGCGCCATCAACATATGTCGTCAGTGGCAGTGAAGATTTGCATGGATGTTTTAAAGTATATTAAAATCTTAGGATTCTTAAGATTCTGGAGAGAGAAGGAAAAAAAAGAAAAAAAAAGAAGTTTGAAAAAGAAGTCCAAGTGGGCAACCCCTCTCTTCTTACTCCCAACTTTTCCCCCCTCATAATTTTCTCGCACTTATCTTCAACTAAAACAAATGACTTAACTAAATCTCTTCATTTTTTTTTGGGACTCCACAGCTTATCAGACACAGTTCTTCTTTTAATCTCGCACGGACACGCACCTTGTTCCTGGGCCCTTTTTGTGGGGGGGCCTTAGCTCTCTTTTTACGCCGATGCTTTCCGAGCGGACTGCTATCACATCGTCACATAGATCATCTGTCGATCCCATGGGATCATATATACATATAAGGGAAAGACATACAGGGTAGTTGATTCGTCTGATTCTAGGAAAACATCTCCAGATTGCAAATCTCCCGCTTTTCTGGGGATAATTGTCTAAGTGGCTTGTTATTCAAGATTCAAGATAACGACCCTGGACCCTATGACCTGATGCACTGGCCTCTTACAAGGCTATAGGGGTGTTCTTTTTTTTCCTTTTGCCGCTGTAGCAGCCCTGGAGAGGCGACGAAAGAGATTTCAGTGCAACGTCAGCGTGGCCCGATTGGGAATACCCGTGTCTGAGCCTTATCGGGTTGCACCAAGGGACGGAAATTAATTTTTATATAAGGGAAATTAGTGGTGATTTACGAGACCTTGTTGATCCTGTGGACTTTATACATATTCACCTAGACTTTGTTTACTTTGTATACCTTCTATCTTTATATCGGAAATCATGTTGGACTTAGGGTTGTCTGGCTCCCCTAGTTAGTCAACTAGTTAGTTATTTCCGATAACCTAAACCGACGAGCTAACGCGTACAATTGATATTAGAAGTTGAAGACAAAACCTGATATCACTGATTCCTTCGAGTTTATATAACTCGCTAAAGATGCTTATATCGTCGATCATCCTGATACTCCACAATCTATTAGAACTATCAAAGATGTCAATGTCGTATAACAGTTCGATTCAATAATAGAACTGAAGTCTATACCTATGTTTATTGCAAACGAGGTCCGTCGACTCGAATATGATTCGGTATGTACCCCTTGCGCGCCGGTTCAGGAACCACCCCCGAGCTAGGTGAATTATCTACATTCCGCCCTTCCGAGCCCAGAGCATTCTTGAACAAACAAAAACAAAGGGAACGGAAAGGTCGCGCTCGATATTGCTCTACTATGCGCTTTATTATCCCAGTCCTTGAATTCATGAATGAAGGCACGGCCTGTGCCACATCCGCGAGCGTGGAAATGGGATCCGATCCAGGCAACATACTCAGGCCCCTGCAGATCGACAGGACTGTTTTTTTTTTGTATCGTTGTTAAAGAGGCTCGCTTTCCATGTTCTATGTTTCTTCCTTTCGACATCTAGCACAGCGGCCGACCTGCGCCCATTTCGACAACCACGTTTTTCACCTTGTGTTTCTTTCTTTCTTTCTTTCTCTTTTTTTTTTTTGCTTTCTAGTTAACCCAACCTCGAATACTTGGAGGATTTGACTATCCTTTTGATTCGGCCGTTTTTCACTCTTTTGAATACTGCCAATATGGCCAAGTTAAGTTTGTTTGCGCTGGCCACTTGGGTTGGTCTAGCCGCAGCCAAGGACGTCTACCTCAATTGGAATCTCACTTGGGTAAATGCTGGCCCGGATGGGTATGAGCGCCCGATCATTGGTATCAATGGCCAATGGCCCTGCCCACAGATTGACGTGACCGTGGGCGACCAACTGATCGTCGATGTCTACAACGGTCTTGGAAACGAGTCCACGGCTATCCACTGGCATGGCATGCACCAGCAGGGCAGTGGTGTTATGGATGGCGCGGTTGGAGTCACCCAGTGCCCACTTCCTCCCGGCTCGCAAATGCAATATCATTTCGATGTAGGTAGAACCCCGGGCCAGAAATATGAACATGTTCTAATTACAGCATAGGTCAACGAAGCCGGAACATACTGGTATCACTCACACAACGCGGGCCAGTTTCCCGATGGATTGCGTGGTGTTTTGGTTGTCCACGACCCTAACCCTCCTTTCCACTACGATGAGGAGTTCACACTCACCCTGAGCGACTGGTACCATCAGGAGATGCCGGACTTGCTCAGTGGGCCCGTGGTGGCTCAAGGCAAAGAGCCCTTCCCCGACTCGGCATTGATCAACGATTCAACCAACACTAAGATCAAGGTGCTGCCGAACAAAACGTATCTTGTTCGCATTGTCTGCATTGGAAACTGGCCCGGCCACTTCTGGGTGATTGATGGCCACGAGATGACTGTTGTGGAGGTTGACGGCGTCTATACCGACCCCTACCCTGCTGGCGACAAGTTCCTGCGCGTTGCAACTGGCCAGCGTATGAGTGTCTTAATTAAGACCAAGGCTGACACTAGTAAGAACTTTGCTATCTGGGATACTATGGATGTCAACATGCTGTTTTTCTTCGAAAACCGCACCATGCCGGAAAACTACAACCCCAATGCCACCGCCTGGTTGGTGTACGACGAGGCCAAGCCCCTGCCCGAGCCTCCCGTCTTCGGCGAGATCGACTTCAATGAGGACTTTGTGGATGATGTCACATTAGTACCAGCAGACCACAAGCCCTTGCTCGAGCCCGTGGACCACCAGATCATTCTGGAGACCGGCGGCGCGCTGGTGGACGGTGTTCCTCGCTTCACTGTCAACAATAAGACCTATATCGCCCCGAAGGTGCCGTCTCTATACACTGCCAACACTGTCGGTACCGAATTTTCTTCAAACCCCGACGTATACGGCCAAGTAAACCCCTTCATCCTGAAGCACAACGAGATCGTCGAAATTGTCATCAACAACCACCACAACAACCTGCACCCATGGCACTTGCACGGTCACCAGTTCCAGGTTCTGCAGCGCACCCCAGTCGATGGTGGCTACTACTCGGGCCTGTCGAGCAACGTCTCCGCGACCCCGATCAGACGCGACACTATCATGGTCCAGAACCACGGTCACACCGTCATCCGCTTCAAGGCCGATAACCCAGGTGTTTGGATGCTGCACTGCCACGTCGAGTGGCACGTCGAAGTTGGTCTGATGGCCACCATCATCGAAGCCCCCGAGACCTTCGCGAACACCGTGCACGCTCCCCCGAAGAGCCACTACGACGCCTGCGCAGCCTACCCCCAGCCCGTTAGTGGCAATGCCGCTGGCAACGAGGGTCTTGACTTGACCGGACTTAACACTACAGCTACCGTCGGCGGCCACGGCGCTCTGTATACCAACAAGAAGGGGACCAAGGATTCCACTGCTGCGCAACCGTCTCAACAACCGTCTCAACAACCGTCACAAGCAGCGGTGCCGAAGCCCTCCACCAAGCCGTCCGCACCTGAGCCACAAACCGAGGCTCCTAAACCCTCCACCAAGCCGTCCGCACCTGAGCCACAAACCGAGGCTCCTAAACCCTCCACCAAGCCGTCCGCACCTGAGCCACAAACCGAGGCTCCTAAACCCTCCACCAAGCCGTCCGCACCTGAGCCACAAACCGAGGCTCCTAAGCCCTCCACCAAGCCGTCCGCGCCTGAGCCACAAACCGAGGCTCCGAAGCCCTCCACCAAGCCGTCCGCACCTGAGCCACAAACCGAGGCTCCGAAGCCCTCCACCACGCCGTCCGCACCTGAGCCACAAACCGACTCCCCGAACTACTATTACGAGGAGTCGCCGACGGCACCCAACTCTAACGGCGAGGGTTACTGGCCAGCCCCTCACACGGACGAGACGACCATCTCTATCGACAATCCTGACAAGCCGCACGATCATCACCTCACTATCCACGAGGAGACGATCAAGAGCCCGTGGGCGAACCAGAATACCAATACCGGCTATGTTATCGACGACGGCAAAATATACCAGATCAAAGACTCTGAGTGAGTATACGAAAAATAAGCTCAAATATGCTCATCGGCTAAGTTTTTTTCTAGTCCTAATGTTATTTTGGATGAGTTCAAGGATTGAGAGTAGTGTATGAATATCTGTGATTTGATATAGCAATTTTATGGAGGTTATAAAGTGCTTGTATATTAGTTTTCTTTGACTTCCCATTGACATTACAGCAAGTGATAATATCAATTCCTGTTTTGATTACTGTTTTTTCCCCGTGCATATGAATGACCTGCACAACATAATATGTAGATGTATCTTTCAACTTCCAAGGTTCCTATCATGGATGCCATAGTCTTTTGACAAACCTTGGAATATCTTGAACTCAACCTTAACTACGATATACAGGTAGAAATTGGGTGAGATTGTATTTCCTGTCCCGGTAATACCCGTAAACTATGCCCTGGTGCACCACGTACCTGGGAATAACAGCTCCGTTGCCTAATCGGGTAGGAGTCGAATTATCACATCCTGACGACCTCACCTACCAGCCATACACAAAGATACATACACACACACTGTTCCTCCCAACAAAATGAACCCCCCGTACTATTAACCCCAACCTTACAAGCATTTCCTCATACAACCATTCAACCCAAAACCGTCAAAATGGCAACCCATCTATTCTGCTGCACCACCATCCAACCCACCAAATTCCCAAATCCCGAACACGAGCAAACCTTCACCGAATTCACAAAATGGGCCCTCACCATAATCAGCAGTCTAACAGGATCCACTAAGCCCTCCGAAGCGAGCGTCTGCATCCAGCTCGTGCGCCAAGTCACCAACGGACCGATAGAGTCTATTCGATACTTCGTCGCAAGTGACAAGCACGGGGGGTTCGAAGAAGTCTCTGAAGATGGGATCGCGGATGCGAATTTTATGAAGATTAATGAGTGAGTTATTACATCAATCTACACGGATACATTTATCGTCCCCTCCCAGGGTTCTCCATACTCCTACCCTTATTGATCAATTTCAACAGGACAAAAACCTTTCAATGCACCCAACACAACCGAGTCTTTGACCTTAACCTCTACGAGCCAAGTACGGGGAGCTCACGTCATTGGCGAGCTAGTATCGCAAAACCGCTTAAGCAGCTGGAGAATGCAATCAAGCATAAGATATCTGGTTCAGGGTCTGGATCTGGATCTGGATCTGGATTTGGATCTGGGTCTGGGTCAAGGTCAATGTCCGGGTCAAGACCAGTGATTGGATCAACGGGGGCCGGGGTTGGATATAGAGCTACCTCGGGTTACGGATACGGATCCGGGATGGGATACGGTTCTGCATGGGGAGCTAGTCTGGGATCTGGCTGTGGACCGAACTGGGGAACTGGGAGTTCGACGCTTTTCGATAAGCATGTGCCGTCTTCCACTACTGTTGAGACTGGGTCCAGTGAATTTGATAGTTACGGAGAAATCCAAGTCCAAGTGCAAGATCAGAGCCAAGAGGCTGGGATACCCCAGCCTGTCGATGGAACTGAAGATACCAACGAGGATGGCGACGATGACCAGTCTGTGCCGACTTTGCCTACGTTCGACACTCAGGTAACTGGGGATGACAACGCAGGGTCGTATTCGCCCCCTGAGAGTCAGGTCACTTCCCATGAAGATGTGAGTCAGAGTTACTTGGATACTGAGGACTATGGATATTATTATTTTGGCGGGCCTTCGGATGACTATGATAGCTATTACTATGATGGAGGGAACAATAACTCGACGTATGATCAGGATTGTGGAGACTGTGGAGGTTATGACGATTGAATACCTATGACTTGGTCTGCTGATGTTTTGCTATATCGCTTCTCTTTAGCTCTCCCTATAACGAAATTTCCGTTGTCTTTGTCAGAGGTAGAGACGGAAAAGCTTGTGATGAAACGAATTTTCAAAGAGATGATACACTGAGTAGGTACATAGTATCTTTGCCTCATTCCGGCATATAGATCTAGAAGATGAGTCGCCTAGGGTTGGTTTCCAGCTAATAGGCCCACCATCTAGCAAAGCCTATATGGTGATAGATCCCACAAAGAATACAACTATATTCGGTTTGCGTTCTAATCCTACGTGGATGTATCAACCGGGCGTATCTGTCCACATTACCCTCCCATGCAGCCATTCTGTGGCATATACATACAAGCCTTGTTTAGTGTACTGCTTATGGCCAGGCCTCATGGATTGTCTCCACTCTCCACATGGACCCTACGGAAAGTCTCAGGTACCTGGCAGAAGGCTCAATTTCAAGTTTTATTCGCGCACGCTATCGCTGTGTTGAATTAGTCTGACGATCGAAACCAGCCCTACAGGTTACCCGGTGCCCTGTATTTGAGGGAGGGACTCTGAACTAAAGACGGCAGCCATAAAACCTTGTACTCCGTATGGAACATCCGAATCTCTCAGTTGTACTAGTAGTAGTGGTCTTGGTATTGGACTCTGCGTACTAGTATATACCAATGTACTAGTCTGGATATGAAATCTTACTCTTTCTCATCGAGGGGGTTGGTTCCATCCAGGTAAATCTCATTTCAAGGATCAGCTGAAAAGTTCTGGATTGTGGCGCACGTTCTGGCTTTATTTCGAAGTGCATCGCGGTACGGTCCTCAGAAGCTGTATGGGCGGGTGAGCGGTAATTTGAAATTGACGAGATGGTTAGCAATTTAGTATCAGGGTTTTGCATGCTTCTAAAGTCGTAAAACAATTGTCTACATAGACTATATTCGTATAGCCTAGTATAAGTAAATATATATTATCGTATCCGTATCTTACACGGGTATGTATTATAAATTCAGGGCTGTCTCAATGTGGTCGTCAAGAGTGTTCTCGGCGTTGTCAAATTGGAAGGTTATCAAGATAAATGATCATCGTTGGTGGATGGTGGTTGTCATGGATGGTTGCGACAGGTCGTTATCAAAATGCGTGGTGAATATTGAGGGGTTCCTTTTGGTAAATACGAGGCCAGGTGAAAGGCCAAGATGGTTGGTGTTGGTGTTGGTGTTGTTGTGGTGGTGGTTGTGGGTGATTGATTGATGTTTGATGGTGGGCACGGTGGAAGGGTATTAATGGTAGTCATAATCAATGTCAAAGTCATGGTTGATGAAAGTCATGAAGGACGATGATCATGATAGACAATGGCCAATCTCATGATGGATGATGACTATTGTGGATGTCTAAATGGAAGGCCCGGAGTGGATAGTTATCACCGTGGATGGGGGATAGAGGGATGTTGTTGTAGATTGTTCATAGTGGCCATCAGGGCTGTCCTGAGAAGCTCCCCAGCACGTTCAAAATCAGATTCAAGAATAAACGGGGTGTTGTGGTGGAAAGTTGCCATGATCTTTTTGGAAGACCCATGATGAATGATGGTGGTGGTTGTAAATAATTGGTCAAGACAGAAGGTCGGTCAAGATGTAAGGGCCAAGGGTGGATTTTGTCGTTACCGTGGGTGGTACCACCATCGAATCAGGGCTCCAAGGTTGTTTCTAGGAACCAGTCAGCATATATTGGACCGGGGGAAGGGGTGTAATGTCATCGTGATTTGTTATCACAATGAATGGTGACCAAGATGAAAGGCCAAGATGGTTAATGTGATGATGGTGGGCGTGGCGGGAGCACGGTGGACTGCCATGTTGGGTGGTCATGATGGGTGGTCATAATGGATGGCCATGGTAAGTGACCATGGTGAAGGATCAAGGTCATAGTGGACAACAGTCAAGGTGACAATGGATGATCAAGATGAAAAGGCCCAAAGTGCAGAGTCGACACCACGGATGGTCCCACCATCAGGATGTCTAGAAACAAAAAAGGTCAGTGTGTCTACAAGCAGCAGGGAAAAAGGGATACTGTTGTAGATATTTTATATTTGTGAGGGGAGATTCTGTAAAGAAGTAAGCCTGTGTATATTCATTGAATGGGGGTAAGGGGATATTATGGTAGTTGAGTCATGGTGACTGGGGACCATGGCGAAAGCTGAGAGACAGCAGAGAGATGTGAAGAGAAGAAAGAAAAAGAGAAAGAATTGGGGGTATGGGGTATTTATACCTTCCCGGCGGCTTGAGGCTATGGGGAAACTGGCGTGGGTGACGATTTTTGACCAAATAGGAAAGAAGGGCCCGGGTACACGTAAAATAGATACTTCCTTCCAACCTTGGAAGGTGTGCTCTTGCCTGTTTCCCCTCTATTAACACATAGGACTATTTACACATCACCTGTATCGCTGCTTTGACTGTATAAAGTGGTTTGCAAATTGATATACAGACAGGTTAAGTGTACCTTGGATCCTTCTCCCCCAACCAAACTGGTAGATTATGTTTGCTAAGAGTATGTATACAGCGAGCAATGAGAACATTATGATCAGCTCAATGGATTAAGGGTACCTGGACTGCCAATATCATTCCCCACATTTTTCCCACTCCCGAGGGCGTCAGGTCCACTCTCATATCCACTATAATAATGGCTCCACAGGCATTTTGTTGCGATCAGATCAGATCTACAACTTTCGAAAATGAGTACCGACTCGGACTCTTCATCTACTGGGCAAAAGCAGGTAACAAGACACCGTCAACCAACGATGAAAACCCAGGACTCGATGTCCCGTTTTGCGTCGAAGTGTTTCAGAAGCCCAAGTCAACCCGGCTCTTTGTACCAACCGGCTGGGGTGAATTCACTGAGATGAATCTGAAACTGCTCGCAATGCCATGGGTGTCACATGGGCATGCTCCCGGAGAATCTGTTGCAGGTTCGAGGCTAATTATCCCCAAAGACCGTCATATTATAAGTGCAGGGTTCATCGCAAGGCCTATCAGGTTACAGTTTACGAAAGAAGGGTCAAATCGTCAACTCTTCTCCGACAAGATCTACAGGTTCCAATACCAAAGGTCCAGATCAAAATGGCTGTGGAGACCCTTCCTCTTCGACAGCAGCTACGGAACCAACCAACATAGCGAGAGAACCAGACGCATCAACAAATCCACCAGCAGCACACGATCACACAGAAACCCTAGTTGGTACGAACATCAAGTATAGTTTGGAGAATATTTCTTCGTTGGCGACTATGCCTGCGGGTCAATATGTCCTTGACTTGATTAACCGGGCAAGAGATACGGTGCCACTTTCTAAGGTTTCCCTTCCCACCGAAGCCAAGATCCTGAAAAAGTATTTGTTTCATGATCTGAGCAAGTTGACAGAGTCTGTCGAAGAGAATATCTTCCTCTGGATGCTGCTGTCCACATCATATCCAGTTGCCAAGTTCTTGATGAGCCGCAGCCCTTCCAACGTCTATACCAGGGATAACAGAGCGAAGATACTCGAAGCCACTGCAGCCGCTGTTAATGCGGTGTATTGCCTCGCTATTGGTCAGCATGAGGGTCAAGATAGCAATCCGGACATTATTGATGTTTTGGAAGAGATTTGTCGACAACATCGGGATGATTGAATATAGCCCATGAAATTCTTGCTATACCATGCCGTAGTACGAATTCTACAGAAAATGGAAAGCAAATAAAATGAATTATGATATCATTAGAAACTACACAAATTCCACCCCACAAAAGAGAATTATGAAAAGAAAACATATTGTCATCTAGTCAAGACCCTTGAACACCTCATCATAGCGCAACTCATTCCAGCGCACAGTTGGCTTCAACCCAGCAAATTTCCAGACCCCATTGACCTTACGGTAGTAGTGCTCATTCGTAGCATGGCCATGACCGCGCAGCTTGACAGTCTTCAATTCTTCAGTCTCGTAGACCTGGTGGGCCGCGCGCAGCTGATGGTGACCGATAACCTCAGTGTCGGATATCTTCTCCCACCATGTCTGACCAAGCAGATGCTGGGTCTTGACGGTTGTATCACCCAGGAAACCGGGGTGTGTGACCATTGCCATGTACTCATCAGCGGCCATGTTGTCCCATTTTGTCAGACCGACCTCGGTGTAGTCGACCTTCAGGGTTGGAGCAATGATGCCGCGCAGGCGGTCCCAGTCCTGAAGCACTATTAGTATTGATGTTGAATTGACTTTTCATAGGATTGTAAGTGTACCTTAGAATCATAGCTGTCTGCCCAGTCGAAAACGAGCTTTGAGAGGATGAGGTAGTCTGTTAATGTTAGCAGAAGCAAGTGAATCACGGTGGATTGAAACACACCTTGGAAGCTGATGTCCAAGTTAGGCTCAGCGGTGTTGTTCTTTACGGCAGGAGACATGTTTATCCAGCGATAGTTGCTTTCTGTAGATAGTTCGAGCTCTAGTTACAACTGCGAGGCGCGCCGTGTGGGTGAATCTAAAGTACACTTCCAGCAAACTCCTCGAAACCTCTCTAAACCCCTTGAAACTTTAAATCCAACATTCCTCGGATCTCGCCAGCATATTTCCGATACACAGGAACACAACAATGCAACCGGAATTATCTGATGTGACAGATGGTGGAGACATTCCCCTCATGGCCTTCCGCATGCGGTAGAAGGTAAAGCCAAGATAATTTGGAGTTCCCATTCGCAAGCAGCTACTCTGTTTTAGGACCTGATGTTGACTGTGGGTCTCTTATGTCCACCATTGTAATATGGCACCGACAGATTCGGAAACAAAGCCCAGCCTCTGCAAGGGATGAACGATGAAACCAAGCCATTTAGCTGAGTCTAGCCAGGACCCTGGTATTACTATTAAAAATACGAAGTTCAATATCAGACTACGATCCCCACTGCGTGATTCCACACCTACTCGTTTACAATCCTTCACTTTTCACTCCATCAACATCAAAGTCAAGATCGAAATCACCACCAAAATGGTCCTCGTCAACCCCAATGCTGCCCAGCCCGAGCTCGCCGGCAAAGTCGCCTTGGTGACTGGCGGTGGCCGAGGAATCGGAGCCGGCATTGCTCTAGAGCTAGCAAAGAAAGGAGCAAGCGTAGCCATCAACTACGCCAGCAGCTCCAAGACCGCCGACGGGGTGGTCCAAGAGATCCAAGCGCAGGGAGTGCACGGCGCCGCCTTCCAAGCCGACCTGACAAACGTCGACTCAATCGCCAACCTCTTCCGCCAAGTCGTTGCCCACTTCGGACAACTTGACATTGTCGTGTCAAACGCTGGAACCGAGAAGTTCGTTCCGCTGTCCGAGACAACGCTGGAGGACTTCAACGCGGTGTTTGACCTCAACACACGAGCACAGTTCTTCGTCACCAAGAACGCCTACGACTACATCCAGCCCGGTGGACGTGTTGTGTTGATGTCGTCCATTGCGGCTGGTGTGGGTGTTCCCGGCCACTCGCTGTATGCGGGCAGCAAGAGTGCTGTGGAGGGTTTTACTCGCTGCTTTGCTGCTGACTTTGGCAAGAAGAGGGCTACCGTTAATGCGATTGCTCCTGCTGGTGTTAAGAGTGATATGTGGTTGAGCAACTCGTGGCGCTATGCGCCTGGATGTGACAAGAACTCTTCTATTGAGGATATTGAGCAGGCGCTTGCTAATGGAAGTCCCCTTGGGCGCTGTGGTATTCCTGCGGATATTGGCCGTATTGTGGCATTCTTAGCTAGTCCCGGTGGAGAATGGATCAACGGTGAGTGCGGGAATGTTGGATTTACCCCTTGGAATATTGCTAATTTTCTTGCAGGTCAAATTCTGCCCTGTAATGGTGGAGCTAATATCTAATTGACATCTGATTGCATTGGAGATTTTGGATGCTTGTTTTGTATTGAGGTCGTTGGAGACCTGGGAGCTATGTACAGGATCAAGGCCAATTGCTATTTGAATCACGCGTTGTCCTTGTTCAAATATTGATTTTTGATTTCTCCATAGAATCAGAATGAAGGACACTATGTTAAGGTTATTCTACCATTTGAGTACAAAGGTTCATTTCGGACTTCTACTAGTGCTAGAGACGAAGCCGCACTAGAACGGTTACGTGAAGCCACGAAGAGAAACCGTGGCATCGAGATTATGATTGAGTAATGAGACATCCGAGAATCTGGTCTGCATCCCTTTTCCTCGTCATCTTGGCTGTCACCCCCCGCATCCGGAAAGATTCGAAGTAACCCCATACCATACCCTGCCAGGATGGCCGTCGGAAGCTACCCGATCCGGTCTCATTTCGGGGCTTCCGACTACTACTACTACTACCATCACCACTGTTTTCATCTCAGCCAACATCATTATGACTTAGATTTGCTCTTGTAGTGGCTGCTACCAGTAAATACAGGTGGTAGCAAACTAATTAAAAGAACACAAGATGCCCCAAATTTATAGCTAGTTGAAAAAAAGCCAATATCAAACCCATAAATCTATTCCATCTACAATCCTCTCAATATGGTGAACTGGATTCTCGGAGACAAGTTTAACACTGTCTACCCTCACCAGGGGTCTATCAAGATGCTATGGGAGTCCAAGTGGAAATTCTGCGTACGTCCCTTCCCAGCAACAAGAAAAGACCTGGCAACCTAACAAAGATAATTTCCTAGTGCTCGAAATCCATCTACCCATTCCACGATGGATCCCTGGAAGACTTCGAGCCCATTTTCGAAAAGCTAATCGCTGTAAGCATCCCCAAGCACAATCCATACATCCCAACCCACGACTAACATCAGCAGGAAAACATCAACGACGCAAATACAAAGGCCTACACCGAAGCATTCCTCCCAACCGCAACAGCGCTAGAGGAAGAAGCCGGAACAGCCCTCAACAACGGTGACCTCACCCGCGCGGCGGACCTCTACCGCCGCGCTGCAGTCATCCTCCGCATCTCGCGCTTCCCCTACGTAAGTCCATCAACCCGTCCAGAGACATCCATCAAGCGGGCGGCCTTCGATCGCCAGAAGCAAGTGTACCTGAAGGCCGCTTCTCTATGGAACCCCATCCTCACCGAGGAAGTGATTCCACACACTCACCGTGCCGGCCGTGACGGCGCTGAAATCCCGCTGTACATCCGACTGCCGGAGGAAGCGAGTGCTACCAACCGCGTCCCTGTCGTGCTGCTCATGACCGGGCTTGACGGCTACAGGCCCGACAACAGTCAGCGCACCCACGAGATTATCAATCGTGGCTGGGCGACTGTTATCGTTGAGATTCCCGGTACGGCGGACTCGCCTGCGGATCCAGCGGACCCTGAGTCGCCTGATAGACTCTGGAACAGCGTGCTGGACTACATGGATCGCCGGCCGGAGTTTGACATGTCGCGCGTCGCGGCTTGGGGGCTCAGTGCTGGTGGCTTCTATGCTATTCGGGCGTCTTGTACGCACCGTCATCGCCTTGCTGGTTCTGTTGCTCATGGCCCTGGATCACACTTTGTTTTTAGTCCTGAGTGGTTGGCCAAGGCGAATGACCATGAGTATCCCTTTAAGTGAGTTATGACTGGGTTTTTGCTTTTGTGTGGGGGGGGTATACTAACCATGGTGATAGTCTTACTTCCGCTATGGCGGAGAAGTATGGATATGACAATGAGGAGGAGTTTGTGAAGAACGCTCAGAAGAAGTTCTCGCTCGTGGAGACTGGTGTTCTTGACCAGGATAACTGCCGGTTGCTTATGCTTAACGTACGTATTCCTATCTCGGTCTTGTCGCAGGAAGAAAGCAAAGCTGATTGTGTCTAGGGTGTTGATGACGGTGTTGTCCCGATTGAAGACTGCATTGAGCCTCTCAAGCATGGCAGTCCTAAGGAAAATCGGTTGTTCGAGAACCGGGTGCACATGGGATACCCTGACAGTCTGCCTGTGGCTTACAAGTGGTTGGAAAGTGTGCTATCTCCTAACAATAAGGAGGCGAAGAACTGAGTGGGTGCTAAGGTGTCGACGTAGTTTGCTTTATACAATCAGATTGAAATTGAATCTTAATGCTATATATGTACTTGCGTGAATATGATTCCATCTGGGTAAATGGACTATATGTCCCCGAAGGCGTACAACTTTGGCACATCTCTATTATGGTTGCGAAGAAACGAATTTCCCCCTCTTCCTCTCCCTATAGCCACCATGAGACAGCGTAAGTGAAGGGTCCCGTAGCAACCCGGGTGCCTATGCATGAGACATCAACATTGTTGAGGCCCATGCAAGTCCACACCCAAATCAAACCGGGCTTTCTCTTGCGAGTTCTTTGACAAGTGGCTAAGCGTTTGGGCACACCAGTCACTTGACAAGTTCCACGAAATACATTGGGGGTGTTCACTATTGTGATATTCTCTTTTCTCAGTACCGGTATGTAGCTAGTAAACTAGTAACCGCGGCCAAATACATTCAATCCCTCGGGCGTGTATCTCTTGCATCGGTGTACTTAGGCGCACGCTGTCTCAATCCCATACACATTCATTGGAAACATCAAAAACTACTAGCTATTTGGAGACATAGATCAACATGGTTTTTATTGGTAGCTGTAGATGAAATAGCATATCCCATCTCACGCAAGCGAGCCCAATCGACTCGCTCCGATTTCGATTTCCCTTTGTGAATAAGATAGTGGTAGGAATCACACTGCCAGAAACGCCCGCAATGCATTGAGGATATTTTTCCGATGCCCGTGAAAAGATCACGAGAGAACATAGACACATATGGAAGAAAGATTAACAAAAGTGGATTCATTCGTCGTCGACCCTCGGGCGTTTCGACTTGCGGTCACCTTCCGCTTCCTGAATTCCATAACGCTTCTGGCCCGAAGTCACATCGGCGATCATGTTGTCAATGCCAAATGGATCAGCAGTGTCCTTCTCGAATTGAACAGGACCTTGGCGCTCCTATTAAAATAACGTATTAGCGATGAGAAGAAAATGTATACTAGACGGAAGCTTACCTCGGCTTCAGCAGCGCCACGGAATCCCTCCTTGGCGCGACCCAGGACCTCGAATCGCTTGGTCTTTTCAAGCTTGCTCATTTCGCCTTCGCCTGCATCTTCGTCATCGGCATCAGCCTGGGCACGTGGACGATAAATGCTGTTGATGGCGTCCTGCGCGGCGAACAGCGGCTTGTCGTAAGGGTTATCTTCATTGAAACCAGATTGCATGCCGCTAGTCTGGTTGAACAAACGTGAATCCCACATAGATTCAGAGCTCTGTGTGGGCTTGGCCAGACCAAGCGCGACTTTCTCGGAGATATCGCGGTTCTGTTCTCGGGCCATGGTTTGAATGCGGCGCTCCGTGCCCATGCGGGACTGGCGCAGCTGTCGCTCATCTTCGCGTCGTCGCTCGCGGCGCTGCTCCGCGCGGTCTCGGGCGGCTTCGTCATCTTCGCTGGGGGTAGCAGATCTGGAGGAGTAAACAGATACACTGCGGCTGGCACTTCGGGAGCGGGAACGAGCTCGTGCCACGCGAGCGCTGGGCCCAGCGCGGTCTTCGCGAGCCTTCTGTGCCAACATCCGAAGATGTTCCTCCTTCTGTGCCTTCTCCTTCTCTGCCAATTTCTGCTGCATCTGAGCTCGGAGCTGCACCTCTTCACGCGCATGTCGATCCGCCGTAAACAGAGCCTCTGCGAACTGGGCGAATTTGTCGTTGATGGAAACATCCTGCAGTCCGCGACCGTCGGCAGCCAAACGCTTGTCCAACGGCACGGTGTAACCCTTGGGGTTCTTCCAGTTCGACACAGGTGGGGGAATCTTCCAAGCTTCTTGGTCCTCCGCAGTAAGCTTCCTAGGCGGCGAGTGCATAACAGGAGGAGGCGGGGAGGGCGGGCCACGGGGAATCTTCTTGTGCTTAAACTTGGGCGGCTCCATAGGATCCAGCTGCCTCTCGACGATCTTCATAATGCGGTCATTCTGGCGTCCATTGTTACCCATCTGGTTGGCCGGTGTGTATCGAACAAAAGTCGGTTCAGCTCTTTGTCCGCCCTTGACGTTCTTCGGCTTCTGCGCCGAGGCAGCTCCTTCGACCAAGGTTGTAAGCGCGGCCTTTGTCTTCTCCATCTGAGCCTGGATCTCCTCCTCGGACGGTTTATCCAGGGAAAGTTCTCCCATATCCACCCGCTGGCGGAGCGGGATCAAATCCTTGAATGAGGCATGGACGGTGCGGTTGTCGGCGTGTCCACGGCGGGCGATCGCGTCATACTTAACCTTGCCTTCGGCATCGACCTGAAGAGCAAGCGCATTTGACTTAGACGACTTTCCCTTTCGGCCCATGTCGAGGGGGTACTGTGCAACTAGGATCTCGGGGAACGCGCCGCCGTCCCCAAAATCTTCGGGGGCGCGAGGTCGCCATCCTGCACGGTTTCCGTAGGGCGGGGGTCCGGTCCTCTGGAAGACAGGGTCAATTAGTCCTCATGCTAGTATGTTCATAGAACGATCCACAACTCACTCGTAGGACAACCTGTGTTTCATCAATCTGGTCGGCGCCCACCACGCGCGGACCACGGGGTTGCGCATGTTGTGGCAACTCCTCCTCTTCGCCAGTGTATTTGGGTTTGGGGAGGGACTTAAAAAGTCCAGAAGCGATAGAGGTCGACATTTTGAGAGTGAGCAACTCAAGAGCTGTGCACTCGTAGTTGAAGAAAAGAGATCATGGAGTGACGCTTCATTTGGCTTTTCGGGACAAACTGCACTATTGGTCTATATGAAATACCGTGCTCTGTTATGCCAAGACTTTCTGACGTTGTCTAACAATTCATTGAGCTGCCTCATTTTACAAGAGAATGGGATTATTCTAACCCGAGAAAGGGTTCAAGTTTTGAAATTCTTATATTTATAGCAACCGAGAGAAATTATTATTCAGATTCACAAACATAAGGGTAAAAGCAACAGAATGAGGTTGAAATAGTAAGTCGCTAATGAACGACTAGATGTTATAATTACATGGAAGAAAAGGTTCCTCGACCTTTTTATGAGTCTAGATGTACTCATGTCGATACAAGGTGTGTACGCATAGGACATGCGATGTCCTCTTTATCGCCTACCTCGACAAAATGATCGCGCCCCTGGAATCTATACCAAATCTTCAGTCGTTTGGGTAGCAATGGCGCAGGGTCGTGGAATCCCAAAATTTGGAACTAGATACATCCAAATTAGTATTCTGTCCCAGAAAAAAAGACTAATTCAAGGCCTATCGCTTGACTTACCTTGATGGATTTGCCGGGAATCACCAATTGACCCCGGTTAACTAGCGCAGCCACAGGGATCGTGACATCAATCACCCGAGGCTCCGCGAACCCATTTTTGGGTTTCTTGTTTACTGGCGGTATATAGCCATACTCGGCCTTCAAAATTACCAAACCTTGGGTTTCTTCTCGCGCTTGCCGCCTTTGCACTTGATCCGTCATGAGCTCGATGGCCTGAAGACTCTCTTCGCGTTTCTTAGGAATCAACTTTTTGAGCTCACGGTGGCGTCGAGCAGCTGCCTGCCGACGACGTTTTCTATCGCGGGGGCGAATATATCCAAATTCAATCGCGCAGTAGGCCAGCCAAGGGAATATAGCAGTCAGCGCTGCAGCGCCGTTTGTTGACTCATTAGCCGGGCAAACATTGATCGGAAGATTAATGCTTTGGCCGAGTCGACTCCATGAAACTGTCATCATGATGCCCTTGTCTGCGATGCCAATACCGAGACCAACACGTGTGTACTCGCCCACCCGACGAACGCCCTTAATGGTCCAATTGAGAGACATGTCTAACCCAACAACACTCGAGATTTCGAGTCGCACAGCACGCGCCTGGTCCATACTCGGCATCGGGAAGTACCCTTCAGAACTCCATTCCGTCTTAACAGGATCATCAGCGGGTTTTCCGGAGAAGAGGTTCCGAGAATAATTCAAGACAAAAGCGCCACCGGCGGGAGTAGCCTGGAGATAGGTCTGCCATGACTCGGCGGATTGATTGATTTGGTGTTTTTTCTTGAGAAGGTGGCGCACATCCTCGTCCATATCTCCACTCTCCTCGTCATCTTCATCGAAATCGATTGCAGCTTGGCCCTCCTTGGGAAGCGAGATTAGACCAATTTGCAGGTTGCTGACCTCATTAGCAGATGCAATGGCACTCTGAGCTCCCATGCCAAGTGAGGGGAACCAGTTGAGAAGAAAGTTGGGCCAGTCAACAACGCCACTAGACCATGTCATGACACCGATCTTCCTCTTGGCAATTTCCCTCGAAACTTGAACCTCGAAAGAAGGTGCCGTTTCATCCAAGGAGCGCTTATGTATACTGGTCACGCTGACCTGGAACGGCTTGGTGCCGGGAATTGGCTGGAAGGCTCGAGCAATGTTCGCTTTCAAGGTCGGGACAGGGAGGAGAAGAGCATCGAAGCTGACTTGGGAATCCTTGAGGAGCAAAAGAGGATGTTTGGCCCAGATTCCCTTTGTGCCCACCAGGCTTTTGAAATTGGGAGTCACAGTGGCCCCAAATTGGAAGTTCTGAGCTGCCAGAATCGGGGGCATTTGAAACTAAAAAGCGGTTAGCGAAATTTTGAGATGCAAACATGCAGCACATCATACCTTTTCCTCCCCTTCTGTCCCATCTTCGTACTCAACTGTGACTTTCTTGACCGGCCGAGCCAAACCTCCAGTTATACCCGCATTCCAAGTCACCTGCATGTCCTCTACTTCCTCCTCTTGCACATCTTCTCCTAAATCCGTTTCGACGCCCGATGTTTCTTCCTCTTTATCTGCCGAGCCCCAAAGCTGTGGCAACGACACCGGCGTCTTGAAATTATACGAAACGCCATATGAGGACACTTTCGGCGAAGGTATATGAAACTGCACATCTTCGTCCTCGTCGACCGATATCATGGATGCCGCATTAATTCCTAGGGTAATACCGCCCTGACGTCAAACCCAATTCCATGTCAGCAACAGCCCATTCGCACCTTCCCATAGATGGAAACTCAATACAGAAGACACATACCTTGCTGGAAACCAGACTCTCGACCGCTTTCCGCTCCCGTTTCTTCATCGTCTTCAAAAACCATCGCCGGAACTGATCCGGCGACATTGCCTTAACACCAACATCCTGCCGTTGTGCCTCCCCACCAATCCCCATGGCCCCAAGTTGACCCCATTCCTGCCGCACGCCCGCAGCACCCGATATATCATATACAATACGCTTATTTGGATCGATGAGCGTCTCATATGCCTCCTGGATATGTCTGAACTGACTCTCGGCGGCATGGCGGAGATGCGGCGGCTGTTTGTCGGGATGGAAGCTGAGGGTCAGGTTTCGGTAGGCGGATCGGATCTCGGCTTCTGTTGGGGGTGGGTTGCGCACGAGACCTAGTAGGACGTAATAGTCGGGTTCCTCTGGGTAGTCGCCGACGATGGTGTAGTCCCCGTCGAGTCCATCATCTTCCACCGTTGCGCG